AAGAAACAGCTTGACCACTTATATGGTTGGTAATTTATGTCTATATTATCCATAAAATCTTTATGTATAGCTCTATTATTAATCAAAATGATTTACTTCTATCGGTTAGTTATCAGAAGATAACGCCGAAGGCAGGCATCAGGAATTCCGCTATACTCGGATAGGAGATATAAGAAAACTAAATCGTCAAGTGACCAATAAAGATATTTGACTGTCCTTGCTTAGTTCAGATCCTCACATAACATCATTGCGGAGAAAGTTATTAAAATATAAGAAAAACTTTATTACCAAATGTAGCCGATTTAATAGTGTCTTCCAGAAACAACATACTTCAAAAGATAATATTGAATGAAATATATATTATTAGTACTAGTTTATAGTAGAAGTAGTTATTGTAATTTTGTTTTGGATAAAAATATTAAACAATAAACACGAACAGATGACATTATCTCTCTCTATCTCACTCAATCTCACTTAAACTCCATATTCTTTTAATGTCAAAAATGTCAGTTGTGGAGGTTTCTTCTGAAAATAATATCACAACATTTTTCATTAAGAAGACATATTTTCATTATTCGAACTTTCTGCCTGGACTTCCTCGTATTTCCCTATATTACGCTTTGATATGGTAGAAACTTTATTATTATTATTGATGTCAGATTGAGGGGAGCGGCCCCTCTCGTCACCACGACCTATAAGATCTGTTTTAAGTAGAAACGGTAGAAACTTTAGCCTTAAAACTAGAAAGTGTACGTATCTTTGAAACAACTTATAATATACCATCTGCAACATCAGCTATTGTTTTAATAAATGTAAGGTTCAAGAATAGTATGCAGGGTGATTCAAAAAACCGCTGACAGACTTCTAGGGCAGGTAATACATTAAAAATTAAGATGAAAAGTCTTAATATACATGGGGTCGCAAATTACTCCTTAACGAGATATAGCAGGTCAAAGTTTCTTTACAATTAAACATTATCTACAATAAAAAGCCCTTTTTTAAAAATATTTTCAACGCCACTGCTAATTTTGTCAAACGGGCAGTATTTTCGTGTAAAGCTATCAATTATTTATTAATTGGTCTCTTACAAAACTTTGATTAAAGCAACAGTTTTTGATTGGATTAATAAGTTTTCTACAAACGTGTTTTTCTTAAAAACTATTGCTTTGATGTGTATATTGTTATTTTGAGGAAAGCAAAAGTAATAACTCAGGAACGAATAATCCTAGCAAATAAAAATCCGAATACGATTTTACCACTAACAATAAGTAAATTTGAAGAGAACATTTCAAGTGATGTGGAAGAAGATAATTTGTTTGAAAGACTCATTAAAATACCTTAGAAAATGACAGCGCTCTATAGGAATGCAGGTCTGTAAGTGTAAAATTTTAAGTGCCTATACCAAGGGAAGTTTAATTCAACATTTAATTTTGATAAATATTGAAATTATTAATTGGTTAGCATGACTGCAGAATAAGTAAATTCATGTATCTCATTAAAGTTCATAATTTGAGAAATTATCCAGGATACCAAGTGGTAATCGACAAATAATACAGAAAAAATATCTCATGATAAATTACGTCATATTGGAAAATATGTCTTAATGTTTATATTATCTACAACATTAAAACAAAGTTTGGCAATATGAGCAGTATGCGCTAAATAGAAATAGCTATCCTGTGAAGTGTTATTTAAGTATGTATATCTTGTCTACGCTAAACTAACTGAATTTCATTAATTTCTCCAATCTATAGAGTTTCTTATTATTTCTTATTTATGCCAAATAACATTCTGTCTTTATGGTGGCTCATTCTTTTGTGGAAACACATATATTTAGAAAGGTGTTTCTGGGAATTGAAATTCAAGATTCATTCAAAAAATCGAATTCAATAAACGAACGAGTGTTGAGATCTTTCCTACTAGATCAATGGTTGAACGAGTTAGCAAGACGTTCCATAATTAAATTAAAGCCGGATAACACAGCATTATATATGCTATTACTTCGTGAACCAGGGCAATAACGTCATCTAGTTCGACAGCCAAAGTAAGTAAAATGTATAACCAAAACTCTATCTAATATACCTGTCGATCCATTGCTAAAAAATTTCAAAAACTATTCTTGTAGATGAACTGAAAAAGACTGAAGCAATGAGTAAACCTCAATACACCAGCATTAAATATAACTATATCCAGTATGAAAACTTGTCTGAATATTGGAAGTATTGCAGGCGTCTAAATGTTTCATAACATATTGTTAGAGAATAATATTTTTTCTACAATTTTAGAGAAAATTAGCAAAATACTAATTGACTACAAGCTGGATGACTGATCAAGCATTCCTGATTTGAAAACAAGTAATCTGGGAATTTTACAGTCATTTATTTTATTACATGGTTATGGTGGCACCTCAACTACTAACGACAGCTGAACCACAGAATAACCAGAAAGGACACTGATGTCGATTCCTTTGATGTTGGAGGAACCGCATTTTTTGACTTCGATTTCAATTCCGCCATCTTAAGAAGGGAACCCAACAATCTAACAACGTCGTTCGCATCGCTTTTGTTGAGTGAAGTGATACGAGCGTCGTTGCCAGATTGTTGAGAAAACCGAAGGCACACCAATAACAATAAGGTGCCCTTTCTAACATGGCGTCGTCGCACAGACAGAATTTTGGGGGGATACCTCAGTGTATTTTTTGGTTATTCTGTTTTTGAACGGAGCAATAACAATGCAACAAATCAAGCTTATACGCATACTGATTTTATGTTGAGAGGGTGCATTTATTAATATCATTAATAATCCCGACATAGGATGAAAGAAATGGTTTCAGCTCAAAGTAGAGACAAAATCAGACAAAATCTTTCATATTAGAAACCAAGGAGGAAAGTATATCGTCCAGTTCGATGCCACTACTATCCGTGCCAAAAATCAAAGCCCCTCGCTTTCAAGATCGATATCTTCGCAACCTCTCGATGAAAAAAATTGCGGTAAAAAAAAGTATCCGATTTTTAAGGGTGTGGGAAACTTTGTTCAATTTGTGATTTTTTTTTCTCAATAACTATCCCACAAAAAATTTTAATTTGAACAGATAGTAGAATAATGTGTTCTTAATGAGAGACATATTTTATTATTTCGATATTCCATACAGTTTCAGGGAAAATCACGGTGTAGTAGGATGCGGTTATGTCGAAAACGACTGGGTTTGATAGTCGTTGTTTGTTAGATGGTGCTGGTGTGTATTCAAGATAGGACGTCGCGCCTTTATTTCTTTATGCAGGTAAAATAAAGGCGCGACGTCCTGTCTGGACCAGACGATCTATTCTGATTGGATGAAACCCCCTCTCCCGGCATGGTTTATGTTTGTAAATTAAAAAGACATAACTTTGATAAACAGATTAAATATCGAAAAAAAATGCCCTTCATTAAGAACATCATTCTACCACCTGTTCAAATTTGAAATTTTTTCATCGGATAGTTTTTGAGAAAAACTCGCAAAGTGAACAAAGTTTCTTTCTTTTTTCATTTACTTCGCGATAAAAAGAAAAACGCGGAGCCGAAAATTTTCATATTCGCATATGTTAGGTAGAAATGTTCAGTAATTACAACAAACTTTAACCCAATTTTTTTCATGGAGTGGTTGGGAAGATATCGATCTCTAAAGTGAGGGGCCTTGACTTTTGACACGGATAGTAGATATCTATCATTCAAGAACAATAAGTTAAATAAATACAATTGGTCCATAAAAAACATAAAAACTTAGGTACATATAAGGAGACCGGGTTAATAATAAATTTAACCTAAAATAATAATGTTAATTACTGTATTCGTTTTAAGCTTGAAGCACTAGGGTTTGTGACACTGGAACTGTTCGGAGTAATTTCTAAAACGAACGCATTTTAGGGGAAGGATGTGTGAAACTCTCGCAGTAAAACTACTAAAATCGGAGATTATGTTTATGTTACAAACCTGTATTTTATTAAACGATGATTAATTTGTGATCAATATTTTCAGCAGTACCCATAGAGTAATTCTTTACATATAAACGCTGTGCCATATCTGTTCATTAAGTTATAGTGAAGATAATTTACCAAAGCTTATTTATGGTTTTGTTATTAATTATTTAATTATTTTTGAAACTGAAACGCGCACCATTTTATTGTATTTAATTTCATTTGATAATAATCAACTGTTGATAATTTTTAGAAATATAACAATGTTCTTGCTAATTAATTCAGTTTTGTGGTTGTCCCAGCATTCATTTCTGACTTTTACCTAACGGTTTTTTTAAAATTATTATACAGATCAAAATCCACTAATTATTATTAATAAGTTAATAAGGTTAGAATAATAATTTCAATATCACTCATCAGCTCATCACCTTAAAGAAGGTGATTCAAGCTTTAAATTGTTGCATTATGCATTTGCTCAAAATATTTTTTTTAAATTCAACTATACTCAATTTTTTCGGTTTTATATTCAACCATGAAATTATTTGTTAGATTTGTCAAAATATTTTTGTTCATTTGCACACATCATCTTATTGACATTGTCATTATTGTAAAATTTTCTTCAAACATTTATTATTAAATGGAATTTATTATTGTATAAAATTCAGCAATAATTAAATACAAAAATGTATTTATGTGAATAAGTTTTAATAAGCAATATTTTATGCAGTATCTCTATTGTATTAAAAATACTCGTCGTATTAGATACAAGAAGATAATTGATTGTAAAAGAAAAATAAAAGAGAGCAGTAAGATTAATTATGTCCATAACAGGTAATCTCCCATAAAATAGAAAACAAAAAGGAAACTAAAAAACAATGCTTTCATAATTCAATAATAGCACTAAATAAACCAGAACGCGTTATATCACTATTTATATTCCGGGTAATAACTTATAAGTATAAATAAAAACGTATAATAACAAAAAATCTTAAAAGGATCTATAAATAAAAGTTAAATCAATCTTTAATGATAAATTAATAATCCTACCTGAAGACTTTTTTCAGTAAACACTTCGATGCCCAAAAATAACGTGTGAACTTAAACCAAAAAAAAATAAATTAATTAAACTAACTTCTCGATGAGAAAATAAACCACCAAACCAGTCGAATTCGAACTTTGCGTTATTTATATATCGCGAATTTCGAACGCACGTTCGGCACCCAACAGAAAAAATGTTGCGAATAAAATCGAAGAGAGCACGCCGAGCGATTCCGCCGCCAACGAAACTGAAAGTGGTGTTAGCCGGAGTGTGGTCACCAACCTAATAATGGTAACCGAAGAAGAAGAGTGTGAGCGAACGTGTGGTGGGGCCCCCGCAAAAGCACCAGATCGAAAGCGTCCGCGACGCCTACAGAAGGACACAACTTCGAACCGAGATCTGATCCCTTTTCGAACGACGTTATCGCGATTTTCGAAGAGCTTTTTACTATCAAGGCCGTTTAGTGACAATGTCGAAAGTAAAAGAGAGGTATGTAAAAAAGAGAAAGCGACTTCCCCACAAATAAATAAATTTTTTTAATTATTTTGTATTAATTATTATCAAATATAGAAGAGTTTTAATTTTTTTACGGAGATAACTAAGCACCTATTTAGTACTGTTCTAAAATTCTAAAAATAATAGGTACATAGATAAACTAAATTGTTTAAGTACAATAATGTTAAATAGGTCAAAACGTTTTAAATGAACTTTTAATTATAGCCTTTAAGAATACAGATAGATAATAACCAATGGACATAAAAATTATAGGGGAATTCCAGTTCAAAGTATTGTGTTGTCTAACAATTTTATTGTGTTAGCTCGTGTAGTTGTGTGTGAATGACCATGTCGAGAAGAGACCACCGAGACGATAATTAGCGATTCTCGTTGCTGTTGTAGTTTTAATGAAGAACTATGTCGAGAATCTCTCATCAACGTTATTAGGTCAACGTTAACTACACAGAAAAGTGTGGCACCTCGAGTTTGAACGTTGAATTGTAATGATGAAATAATTACATACACATTTATGGTGTATTATACATAGAAAGACGTATAAGATAAGGAGATAACGTTGAACTACTTAAATTTAATTGGTATGATATATTGACTATTGCAAATGAATCGTGTGAGCAGATTTATTACTACATCAATCATTGAGTGTTGATATTTCTACCGATTTGGCAATGTAATTAGTTAAAAATACATAATAGACATTTATAATGATAACAATTTAAAAAAATCTAAATAAGGCCAAATAAAATCTGATGCATTTTAACAATGAATGTTGTCTCATTTTAATATCTTCAAAACTAGTTTAAAAATGAGACTGTAATCTAGAAAGTAATAGTAAAATAGCTTTATTGCCAGAGATAACATTGTTAAAAATAAGTATTACAGGTTTATTATGGGTTTATATAAACAAATATAAAAATAAACAATAACAATAATAAAAATAATAATATTAGTAATAGCAGTGCATTCATCCCGGATTTAATTTAATGATTTAAAAATTGTTATCTCAACAACAAATAGAATTTTGGAAATACTCTATAAAGTCCTTACAATTCAACACGATATCTGATGATTGAAAAAACGCTTAATATAAGGTCATAAAAATTCTAGTTGTATTCTAAAATTACTATCTTAAGAACGAATAGAGATTTTTATGTACGGTTTTATTTATGAAAAAGCACATAGTTAGAAAGCATCACCTACATTTCTGAAGAATTTGATTACTTACGACTTTTTTACAATCGTGCAAAGAAGTAATTTGCATTATAAACACATTAAAATAATAATTGAATTAAAAAATTATTATCTTTAGATATGATAGAGATTTTCAAGTACTTGTTGCCTGCATTATTGACAAAAGTTTATTCTAAATTGTAACTTGTGAAGAAATTATCAATGTATACGGTGCTATCTTGGTTGTGAACGTTTTCAATACATTACTAACTCGCAAACCATACGTACAATGATATCACTCTCTTTCTCAGGAAGTTGCTCTGTCTTCAATCGCTCTTCACTAACATAGTCAACCTGACGAATACTGTCAAAGTTTTTAGATCAGCAATAGCTCACTTCCACGGCAATACTGCCTTCAATCAAACTTACTTCTTTATTTCCAAACTCTACACGAAACATCTCATTCAGGTGGAACAGGAACTCAAACAGTCAATCCTTCATAGCAAAACTTTAACCTAAAATTACTAGTGTTACAACTTTACAATAATCAACTTGCGTACTTCATTATCAGTTTCGAATAATTCTATTGTTTCCTTCATACTTCATGTCAAAGTTCTATATTATATTTTTATACCAAGCAGAAATAAAGACAAAATATTGTCCATTATTATTGTCAATTTAAAGCTTTATTTGGAATCTTTTCCCCTTACAACATTCTTTCGCTTTATGGCCATAATTGTTATATATCGTTCCTTTTTCCTGTTTGGAATTTGACTACTCTTGTAGTATCGAACAAATGGTTTCGTTGTTTACATATCTTACAGTTTCATGATTTATCAGTTGTAGATGTTTCAATTTTTCCACTCATCTATATAAACATACAACTTTTTTTTAAATTCTTTAATTATTCTTGCATTATAAAGACCGTTATTGTTTACATCATAGGGAATACCATCAATAACATATTTGCATTAGGACATTATCGTCTATTTTACCTCTACCTGCCACTTATTTTTTTAAATTCTTATAATTTATCAACATTTCATCTTCGAAGCTTTTTTCAACACCATAAAGTTATTCCTCTTGCACTCTTGACAAATAATTTTACTAATCCAGTTAATGACTTTTTAGAATATAAGAGGCGATTTGGCAATCAGTTACCTAAATGATCCATTTTTTCCAGACAAAGGCAAAAATCGGTTTCGTTGAATAGGTAGCGATGGAATGTTTCTTATCATCAGTATTTCCATCACCTATACTTTCTTCATAGTTTTCACTGGCTTGATTTGCTTCATAGTATATTAGTTGTCGTCGTCACCTAGAGCAACGCCAAACCTGCCAAACTCTGCCAAACCTTTGCTAATAGTAGCATACAATAAAAGAAAAAAATAATACAAATTGATCTTTGCGATCAAATGGTGTAGAAAACTGATTTCAAAATTACTTCTTGGAGATTCATAGATTAATTTAGAGAAGAAATAGTAGTTGATTTTCTTTCTATTCAAAATGCAATTTCTGCATACAGAGCCCACGCAAATGTCTACAATGTGGCAATGTTCATCTTCTTCACATAATGACATATACCTAAGAAATGACTATTAATTAAACATGTATGGAATGTCACACCAAAATATTTATAATATAAAAAAATATTTTTTTTTTAAGTCATTCGATAAAGTATTTTTGGATATATAACATATATACTTATTGCCATAAATAATTACAAAATAGATTTACAAAAAAATGGAAACACAATCAATATTATTACATAATTATTAGACAAATGAATCAATTTATTGCCTACGGCGATATCTTCGAAATGATTGTTCCAATTGATAAAACAAAATTAATAAACTTAAATAATAATATCCAATATGGCCTTATAAGAATCCGAAAAGGAAAGGAAAGGGAACATTGACAAGAAGAAACGAATTACAGTAACGTGAACATGCAAAGTATTTCATAACACGCAAACATTAAAAAAAATGTTTAGTATGACGAGACTTGACGAGAGAACAATAGGTGAGCAGGTATCCCTTGCTCATCTAAAAGATGGAAGGCTAGGAGCATTGCGAATGACAGCAGGAAGATTGAATCTGTTATGAGGTGACAAAAAGTTGAAATTGTTAAACAAATATCTGGGGGTTCGATTATGAAGAATTTTATTAAATTTAATAATACACGAAAAGATCGTCGGTTCTCATACGTTAACAATTTTAAATTATCACACAGTGTAATCGATAAATCGGTGCACAGTGTGCAGCATAATCTAGATGAGGAAAAATTAACGTGTGGCACAGATTACGACGAATAAAAGGAGGAAGGAAACATCTAAGCCTACGTAGAGAGTGAATACAAGAATACACGTTTTTGCAGATAAGTTGAATTTGAGGGCGCCAGGACAGTGTTGAATCCATCATAACACCCAGATTTTTCACCACATCCGAAAATTCTATGACGACGCCATCTACATATTTAAAAGAGAATTTGTACCAAACACAATTGCTAGAGTTTTAGTAGCATTTAGCTTTAACCTAAAAAACTTAAACCAGTCATTCACTTTAGCAAGGTTACGATTTAGACGCTCCATAGCCAAAGGGAATTCACTAACGGTTGTACTAGTGTAAATCTGGAGATCATCTGCATATAAATGATAACTAGAAGAAATTACTTTTGTGACACTATTCATAAAAATAGAGAAAAGCAGCGGACCCAAAACACTTCCTTGGGGCACCCCACGAAGAAGTTCGTGAATGGACGAAGGGCCTGCATCAATGCGAACACATAAGAGGCGATGGGAAAGGTAGGATCGGAACCACTACAAAGAAGTAGGAGAAAAACCGATAGATGAGAGAGTTGCAAGGCTTTACTGAAATCAAGCAGTATTAGCAAGGTCTTAAGCGTATCTTATATCATCAGTAATGTTGATCAGTCAGTTGTAGTATTGTGACTTGGCCGGAAACCAGACTGCATATCATTGATTATACGACGCTCCTCAAGATAATTAAATACTTGATTATACACGACACGCTCAAAAACCTTTGACAGGATAGAGAGAATTTATATAGGACGAAAGTCATAAGGGGAAACTGAAGTTTTTAACTTAGAAATAGGCACAACATGCGCAAGCTTCCACATGGACGGAAAGGATGATGTTTCAATGGAAAAGTTATAGATATGAGTTAACGGAGACATAATAATATGAAGAATCGGTAAAATCTGTTTCAAGCTAATACCGTCTGCACCGGCACTGTTAGAACTAGAATAAGTAACTGCCTGTACACCTCGACCCCATCAATCACAGTGAGCGAAAAGCTAGAAGAAATAAGATTAGATGCCTCAATAGCTTGAATTAAGGTGATTTTGGAAGCAGTATTAAGAGTTACTGGTGGTTTAGCGAAGTGGCTCGGTAAAGAATTTCCGTCCACAACACCTTGTGTGGGAGCAGAATCAATGACACCAACAGACCTTAAAGTTTTCCAGAACGTCTTAGGATTAGTCCCAGTCAATTTCTGGGAAATCTCTCAAAATATGCTTTCTTCGCATTTTTACATCTATGATTACAGCGATTA